CGATTTTGCGGCTCGTCCTTGTCATTAATGACAACCTTCGTTCGGCCGGGCAACCAAAGATGTCTTGGCGCTCGTCGGCTAGCAAACGCATCCGCCTCACCTCTTGGTACGTGAAACCGGAAAAGGTTAGAAGATCGCCCAAGAAAACGGAACCTGATTCGGTTGTTCCGGCGCCACGCGGAATATCGGAGGACAACGAGGTCGTCGTCGCCGCCTCCGCAGCAGCTGCTGCTGCAGCAGCATCTTCGCGCATGCACACGAATTACAATTTGACAAAAAGAAAGAAACAGAGACGAAATGTTTTTAACGATTTAATTGTTTCATCCGAAACCTGCACACCTTCTCGCCCATCATCCGCTGCAGCAGACTCGAACATTCCGTCAGACGGGATGTGCTCACCTCAAATATCCGAGGCAGCAGCCGATCTCCGGGAAGTGGTCTCAGCTGATGGAACCTAGGCAGTAGCACGACGGAGTTCTCGAAGCGAACGCCGTACACGGTCCTTTTTAGCAGGTACAAAGTACTTTCGTCCGAGTTCGATAGCAAGAAATGCTTCTTCGATTCAGTCTGTTCGGAATAGCAGAGCAGAAGCGTCATCAGGTCGCACACGAACTGCTTGACGTCATCCAGAAACAATTCTTCGATCGCAGCACCCTCGTCCGGTAACCTTTCGGAAGAGACGTGCACCAGAAACGATTCCCTCAGAGCTTGCATCAACTTGGTCTCCCTCTCCAACTTTCTCATGACGATGTCCCGTCCTCTCTTCAAGATGCCCGTCCTCTCTTCACGAAAAACGAGCGGTTGTACTCACGTCGCTTTTCTCGGTTCGTGAGATTTCTCAACACCCTGTCAACCGCGTCCGCGAAACGTGCCATGGCGCCGTCCCTACTCCCCGTCCTGGAAGCGTCTCGTCCCTGTCCCACGAACAGAGGCAGGTCGCGTTCCACAACCTCCGGTTCGTAATCGTTCAGGTAGAACTAATTGCCGGTAATCGAACATCTTCTGACGTTGTGGTCCAGATGTTGGATCGCGCAAATTCGTTCGTCGGCTGCGCAGACGTGGACCCGGAGAGACTTTTCGCATATGAAGTGTGTACCGTCCTGCAGCGGTTCCGCGAATTCGCACGCATTCGGCACGCATTCGTGAAGTTTGTCGACGTGGTAGATGTTGTACCGTTTCGCTGTCACGTACGCGTTGAGCGCTGCCGCAGCCATCTTCATAATTTTTTCCTCTAAATTCCTCTTTTTTATATGTTTCAGGCTTCCAGAGGAACCGGCTGCGACCTCGGATGGATGGACGAATACCCTTGGATGAAGCAAGCAGCAATGATATCCACCTTGCCCGTGTTTCAACCGAAGAATGTGTCGGTTCTGCTCACGTCGTCGATGACCTCCAGCGAGCACTGGTCCCAGGAACTGGTGACGATCAAACACGAGGGACAACCTCTCGTAAAGTACATCACGCAATCGTACCTGTGCGACGCCTGGTGCCGAACACATAGACGGTAGCGAGGGGAACGTGGTGCAGCAGATGATGAATCTGATTGCGAGCGGAAGCTACGAGCTGGAATGCATGGGCATTCCAGTCTGCTCGCCTTCGTCGCTCGCCGAACGTCTTTTCTCCGGAAGGTTGCTCTCCCGGCTGTTCGACGAAGAATGGAGGTCCGGCAGGAGATCCGGATTCGCATCCGGTCTTTTGATCGCCATGGATCCCACGCCGTCGGACGTGTCCGGCATAGGTCTGGTCGCGGGGGCGATTACTTCCGACGGCAATCTCAGACAGGTGAGTCTCACTGGCGGTATCTTGCAAGCCCTGCTTCTCTTCTCCGTTATCCTTCTCAGCGCGTACGTCGCGTGGTTTCGCGGACCTCGGCAGATCGCAGTGCCCCGATCGCCAGCGTCGGCGTTCGACACCCGCGTCTGAAGGACGGACACGGCCACGGCCATCGGCGAACCTCCGATCGAGTTCCACAGCGGCTGATCGTAGCTGTTGGTAAGCAGCTGGTTCGCGAGGTTCTTCTCGCTATCTATTATCCAGTGTCTTTCCTCCGGTTCCGAATTCCTGTACTCGGTTTCCACGCCGGGCACGCAGACCTCGTCGTCGACACCGTGAACGAAGTCCTGTCCACGTACCGAACGCTGATCAGCTGGCCCGTTCGCGTGTACTTCGAACGGAACACTTCGCACGCCCACGCTGCGATGATGGCAAAGCAGGTGACGGATCGGTTCGCCGGCACGTCCGTCGACGTCTCCTTCGAGAAGAAGACGAGACAGGACGGCGCCAGGTGCGTCGGACTGTGGACGAGGGACAAGGGCAATCTAGTGCACCTCTCTCAGATGCTGCTGGAAAACGATCGGGTCGCATTCTCCGAAGATATCGACGTCGCCTCGATGGAGACTTTGCACGATCAGCTACGAAACTTCAGACGACTCGTGCGGTCCGACGGAAAGATAACGGTCACAGAAAAATCTGTCGGAGTGCGCGACGACCTCACCATGACGTTCATTCTCTGGTTGGCTTGGACTTGTTTCTTTCGATCTTGATTATTATGTTTAAAACTAATAAAATGTTAGAATAGAATATGTGGTTTCTCAAGTGTGCTTTCTTATATTTTCGTAACTGTCGTACACCGCTTCCTAGTCGAACGTAGGCACACGCAACACGTCGTGATACGACATGCACACATCTCGCACGCAATCTGGTGACCGCACGGCTGGGCTAGGACGCTGGCAGGAGCGTCGAAACAAATCGTGCAAGGAAAGAGTGGTGGCAGAACGAAGTATTCGCACTCGCTTACCTTGCGGTCGGGCAAAAAATATTTGCAAAAGGCCAGGATTCTCTTTCCAGCCATCATCTACTCTCTCGACATAATATTAATAGTAATTAAAAGAGACGATTAACATTTTTTATAGTTTTTAAAATCTTTATTTATAAAAAAAAAAACAATCGATAATAACTGTTCAACCTCTCCCGGACATCGATAACGAACCTTCCCAT